CTAAGAACAAACAAACACAAACAAGCAACGCTAAGAACAAACAAACATCAAACAAGCAAGGCTAAGAACAAACACAAACAACCTTATTGTTAGACGTTAGCATGAGCTTGGTTTGTGTTTGCTCCTCTGAGGTTCTGACTCTGGTTGAAGTCCTGAACTCAGATGGATCAGAGGACGAACTCACAATAAGAGGAATTATTTACTCTGAAAAATTTGGGTCGTTGTGTCAAATGTAAATAAAAACAAAATGCAGTGATTTATAAATGTAAATAATAGTGCCGTTTTGAATATGATGTCAGCAAAACATGTCCAAAAAGTTGAGGCATTAATGCACCCCCATACCATCAGAGAGGCAAGCTTTTGAACTGTGCGCTGATAAAACAGACTGGATGATCCTTCTCTTTAGAATGGAGGACGTGGTGTCCGTGGTTCCTAACGGAACTTCAGATTTGGATCCATCTGACCTCAGAACAGTTCTGGACTTCACCTGAGTCCATTTAAAATGAGCTCTGGTCCAGAGAAGACGGCAGTGGTTCTGATGGTGTTCACTTCTGGCTTCTTCTTTGTCTGATAGAGCTTTAAACAGCATCTGTGGATGAACTGTGTTTACAGACACTGATCTGTGGAAGTGTTCCTGATCTCCAGCTCTCACTGGAGTGGTTCTCAGCTGGGATGAGGACCAGAGCCTCCAGGTCTGAAGTCTGGTCCTCATTCAGAAAGGGTGGACTGTGCTCTCTGGGTCAAGGGTGAGGTTCTGCCTCAACTGTAGGAGTTCAAGTGTCGCTGGTTTTGTTCACAGTGATGGGTGAATGGAGCGTGAGATTGACAGACATATGAGTGCAGCGTCTGCAGTATTGTGGAGTTTGTGCCGGTCCGTTGTGGTGAAGAGGCAGCTGAGCTGTAAGGAGAAGCTCTCTGTTTACCGGTCGCTCTGCATTCCTACCCTCCCCTATGGTCATGAACTCTGGTAAGGATGGACCCTGAACGTCTCACTAGGGAAGTGCTCTGGACATGTCCAACTGGGAGAAGACCTTGAGGAAGACCCAGAACACGCTGGAGAGACTTTATCTCTCTTCTGGTCTGGAAACTCCTTGGAGTCCTCCCAGATGAGCTGGAAGAGGAAGAGGAGGCTGGACCTCCCTGATCAAGCTGCTGCCCCCCAGACCTGAGTCCAGAGCCTGATGATGGATGGATGGATGGATGGATTGATTGACTGATTGATTGATTTATTGATTGATTGATTGATTGATTGATTGATTGATTGATTGATTGATTGTATATAATGTCCCATCCTTTCAGATTTGGGATTGTATTTTCAAATGAAATGTTTATTTAATGTTCTAAGGACCGTGGACATCCATGGTGACATTTTGTTGACCCGTTTGCTTTTTTCAGGCCATATTTTGAGGGACTGTCTCTGTCCAGCTCTCAGACTGAGATTGGCAGCATCCACAGCAGTCGGAGTCACAAAGAACCCCCCAGCCCGGTGAGACCCTCACATCTTTGTCTAAATAACGTCCTCTTGGACGTACATTTCCCACACAGATTATCTGTTAATCTGCAAAATTAGAGGTCACTTTGGGTCGTTTGTTGGATGTAAGAATACGACACGTTCATCAAATGAGTTGGTTTTCAGCAGGTGGTGGTTTGTTTTGTTCTAGATTGATCTGGATAAAACCAGGTGTGGAGGCTCCAGGTGTGCAGAGGATGCTGCGTCGGATAATATCACCTTTGTGAGTATGACTCATCCGCTGAAGTTCACTGAGGTTTTTACTTTTATTTTTAACTTCTCAACCATCAGTCGCACAATTAAAGGACGACTGACGAAAGCTGGAACAGACAACTTTACAGGTATTGATGTGGTAGTAGCTGAGAGTCATCCCCTACTTTTGATTATGTCGAATAAAATATTCAAGATTTGACCAAAACCGTTCATCTCGTCTCAACATGGATGACTAAGTTTGAATGTTTGGTGTGAACGGCGGCGGGTGATATGCATTTCAAGAAGGAAGGCTGGTGTTTGTTTGTTCCTCAGGAACAGCCCGAAGCCGTGACTCCCACCACCGAGCTGGAGATGGACACCATGGACACGTTTCTAGAGAGGCTGCCACTGAGTGGTAAAATGACTAAGACTGAATCCCTCATCATTTCATCCAACAGGTACGTTCACCTGTGCAAATTAAATATTATTATCATTATTTACAGTACTGGTAAGGATTCCTGTGGATCAAAACAATCATTACTGGAATTACAGAATTACTGGATGTTCATCTACAACTGAAGAGCTCCAGGTGTCATCATCTTACCTGCAGGCAGTTGGCCTGCGGGCCCTGCGGATGTATATTTGAACAGAACTTCATAGATTCTGCTACGAGTTATAAATTTAAATACCACAGCTTCAAAATGGCTGTGAAGGCCCTCCCCTTTGATTGACATCGCTTTTGACCAACTGGGTCAGTCTGGTGTCTCTCCAGAGCCTATAATTTCCTTGTACTAGTAGTAATACTAACTCCATACTGGTCGCAGTAGTACTAACTCCATACTGGTCGCAGCAGTACTAACTCCATTCTAGTCGTAGTGGCACTAACTCTGTGCTGGTCATCGTAGTACTAACCCCATGCTGATTGTAGTAGTACTATCTCAATGTTGGTTGTCATAGTACTAACTTTATGCTGGTCATAGTAGTCCTAACTCCATGCTGGTCCTCCGAGTACTAACTCCATACTGGTTGTAGTAGTACTAACTATGTGCTGGTCGTCATAGTACTAACTCCATACTGGTCATCGTAGTACTAACTCTATGCTGGTCATCGTAGTACTAACTCTATGCTGGTCATAGTAGTACTAACTCCATGCTGGTTGTCTTAGTACTAACTACATGCTCATAGGAGTGGCACTAACTCCTTGCTGTTTGTCGAAGTACTAACTCCATGCTGGTTGCTTGTCTTTGAAGTACTAACTTCATGCTGGTCATCATAGTACTAACTCCATGCTGGTGGTATAGTACTAACTCCATGCTGGTCATCGTAGTACCAACTCCATGCTGGTTGTGGTAGCACTAACTCCTTGCTGGTTGTCTTAGTACTAACTCCATGCTGGTCGCCATAGTATAACTCCATGCTATTTGTCGAAGTACTAACTCCATGCTGGTCTTCGAAGTACTAACTTCATGCTGGTTGTCGTAATACCAACACCATTCTGGTCATCGTAGTACTAACTCCTTACTGGTCTTAGTAGTACCAACTCAATGCTGGTCACAGTAGTACTAACTCCACGCTGGTCGTAGTAGTACTACCTCCATTCTGGTTGTACTTAGAATATGTTGAGCGCTGAGGGTAAAACTCCAGAAGGCTTTTTCCAGGACTTTTAGAAATTTTGGGGGACTGTTAAGGGTTAACCCAATTCAAGATGGCCTCCAAAGCTAATGGATTTGAGTGAACAGATGAATGGCTGTAAGTCAAACAGTTTAACAGAGACTGAGCTGAAGATCCATGAAAGCCTCTGAGGGACGTCTGGTGATGTTGGTGAAGATTGTGTGAAATGTAGAACTCCATTGTTTCTCATAAGAACACAGTCTTGGTCTGAATCTCCGACAGGAACGATGGCGGGCAACATTTGAAGGAACGTTGTTCATCCCACAGTGTTTTTAAGGGAAGTAAATCTTGATCTGAACTCTTCCTCCTGACGTCCTGCTTCGTTTCTCAGGCAGGAACCAAAGCTGGCGGGGAGACGAGGCAGGAGCACGTCCCTGAAGGAGCGCCAGCCCAGCAGGCCCCAGAGCGAGCGCGCCAACAGCCTGGACAACGAGCGGTCTCTGGACACAAGCTGCCACCTACAGGCACGAGGCCACAGCTGCACCACAACCACTCGGACACTGCACCGAAAACTGACAGCAGCTAATGAGAAAATTACTCTGTGCCAACACTTCTATGATTACATCACTCCACTGAACCTGGGACAGCAGAGAGACATGACTGAATGGTTTAATGAAGGCACATCTTAAAAACTTATTTGATCTCATTTTCTGGTTTTTATTGTTGCAGATCCCCAGAAAAACAGTGTACGACCAACTGAACCACATCCTAGTGTCTGATAACCACCTCCCTGACAGCATCGTCCTCATCAACACGTCCGACTGGCAGGGTCAGGTAAGACCTCCACCGTTTTATCATCATTTAGACCATATTTAAGTCAAAATAAATCTGTTTTATTATCTTCAATATAATATACTTAATGAGAAACAAAAATGTATTATTTTACCTGAAGACACTTCAGAACTTTCTGCACACCTTGTTAAGACTAAGGTATCATGAGTCACTGCCGGAGGACACCAGGACACGCTGGGCCTTTTATTTTTACAAAGCATTTAAAAAAATTAAAACGGTGTGTGCTTGTCTGTTTTCACCTCTGTTGAACTTCTCCTTCAGTATCTTTCAGACTTGCTCCTGAACCACCACCTGCCCGTGGTGTGCACCTGCACCAGCGCCGACATCCAGGCGGCGTTCAACACCATCGTGTCTCGGATCCAGAGATTGTGAGTCTGCTCCTGGTTTTCAAACCTCTCAGTAACTCAGTCAAGAGTTTTGATCTTTATTCTCCATCGCAGCTGCAACTGTAACTCCCAGACGCCCGTTCCTATAAAGATCGTGGTGGCAGGGGCGCAGCACTACCTCAATACAGTTCTGAGACTGTTTGTAGACCACCTCTCCCCAAAGACCCCAGACTGGCTCAGCTACATGAGGTTCCTTATCATCCCACTGGGTCGGTGACTGTCCAGCTCTTTCTTGTTTACAGTAGATATTGAAACCAGACTGCACATTTAAAGCTCCGTGCTTTTGGTACTGAACACCTTTAGGTGCACATCCGGTCTCCAAATACCTCGGCACTATTGACCATCGATACAACGGTTTGTTCCAGGACGCTGCCTGGAGGGATTTCTTCCATCGACTGGAGGCTCCTGTTGTTGGTGGGTTGTTTCTTCTCCACTGGACCTTCAGACTGTGTAAGTTAGACGTAACCAGCTGATCCTCGTGTATCCTGTGCAGCCCAGGAGGGTCCAGATGTGGTGTCGAGGGTGAAGCAGTACATGGAGGGAGCTAACGGGGCTCACCAGCTGCACATCGCGGAGGCCATGCTCACCTACAAACAGAAGAGGTAACGGCTCCTGTCGGCCCTAGATGTTCTTCTGTGTTGGGGTGGGGAGGGGGTTAATCTGTCCAGTGTTGGGGGGTGGGGGGTAAATCTGTCTCCCCATCACTGTTTGTGTGAGTAATGTTTTTATTGTTTGTTTTCCTGAAGGAAAAAGAGCTTTCATTTTGATTTTGCAGTAAGGTACTGTGATGGAGTTTGTTTTTCTCATAGCCTGGTGGTTCGTGGCTCTCTGTCCCTCTGAGACATGTCCTCTGAGACATGTCCATGTTGGAGCTTGCCACTTTAACAGCTGCCTGCTGGAGAGTTCTCTTCCCCTATATTTCATTTGAAAAGTAGTCAGGGACAGAAAAGATGGCGTCCTTTGTCCTGACAGGACATTCTCTGTGCTTGTCCTTTTTTAGTCTGAATCTAAACAGTTCAAACTATAGTGTCCCACCTGGACAGAGGACCAGAGCAGCTGGTTTAGGATGAGGACAGACAAGATACCTTGTAGTTTACAAGGACAGAAGACAAACCATGAGGACAGAAGACAACCAATGAGGACAGAATACAACTCATGAGGACAGTAGGAAAGGCACTGATTCTGTCATTAAACAGAACAGGATATTATGTAGTTTGAATCATTAGATTTAAAGATGCAGTTGGACAGGATGTGACATCAATTGGGCAGGATGTGACATCACTTGGGCAGGATGTGACATCACAAACAATAGTTTTCTTCTATTTTTTACATCAAGCTAAGGAAAGAAAAACTAAAAACAGATTTTCTGTGAAAAGTCTGAGTGCTGAAATATTCGGCTGGAAGTTGCTGAACAAACTAAAGCTAAAATTAACCAAACAGTAGCTAAAAGCTAAAACTATCAGAACAGTAGCTGAAAGCAAACTAAACGGGGAAAGGTCTAAAAGCTGACTCAGCACTCAAACTGTCTGCAAGCTGAATTTGATTAACCACAGAGAGGAAGACACAAAGTTTGTTTTCTCAGTCATCCAGGTATATAACAACAAAAAAGGTTGAATCATGTCATCTGGACTTCGTTTTTTTTGTTAAAAAGAAACGTTTCACCCCTCATCCAAGAGGCTTCGTCAGTCTGAGGCCTAGCCAGGCCTCACATCGTGAAGCCAGAAGCCACCCCTTATCAGGGGTGGCTTCTGGGTAATACCAGATGGCTAGGCCTCAGACTGACGAAGCCTCTTGGATGAGGGGTGAAACGTTTCTTTTTAACAAAAAAAACGAAGTCCAGATGACATGATTCAACCTTTTTTGTTGTTCACAGAGAGGAAGATTTCTCCTAACTGTTAGCAAAATATCCAGCTATCTGTAGTTTTCAAACAGATTTATTGGACATGTCTTTAGTCAGTGGATGTGCTCACAAGTTGCACACATCAGATTGACTTTAAGGACCTTTATATTTTGACTGCTGAGGCTTTTTTCGGTTGAAGTGAAATAACATGAGCGGACTCTGAAGGTGCTGATAAAGTGGCAGGAGACCAAACGCTGTGCTCCTTTCCTTTCGTTTCTCCTTCCCAGCATGTTGTGCTTCTGGATCACTGCAAACGGATTTTCTCCTCAGAAACAGAAATAAAAACATGAAAACTAAATGTTTTTACCCCGTCTCTGTTTAAAGACACACATCTAATCAAATCAAAAACCATTTATTGATGATTCAACTACCGCGATGTGGAGTGAGAACATTGGGCTGAGGAGCTCTAGACTGTAGCAGTAAACATACAAACCTTAGACAACAGTATTATACTGTACAGTGTCCATCCATCATTTTCCACAGGTCCAGACTTCTCTTTCCACAGCCACCTCTTCCTGCTCTTCTAGGAGGAGCCAAGAGAAATAGTGTCTCTAGTGTGTCCTTGGTCTTCCCCAGTTGGACATGCCTGGGAAACCTCCCTTGGGAGGCATCTAGGGAGCATCTTTAACAGATGTCTGAACCACCTCAACTGACTCCTCAGGATGTGGAGGAGCAGCGACTCTACTCCGAGTCTCTCAAGGAGAACTGAACTTCTCACCCTATCTCTAAGGGAGAGTCCAGATACCCTGCAGAGGACAATCATTTTGATAGCTTGGATCCATAATCTCTTTTTTTTGTTGACTACCCAAAGTTTGTGACCATAGAGGATGGTAGGAACACGGACATCCTGTGAACAGAGGACTTCGTCTTGAAGCTGAGCTCTCTCTTAACCACAACGGACCTGCACAGAGTCCGCAATACTGTAGAAGCTGCATCTTTAGATCTCATTCGCCATTCTTCCCTCACTTGTGAATAAAACCCAGAGTTATTTAAACTCCTCCGCTTGAGGCAGCAACTCACTCCCAATAGTAGAGGGAATCCACCCTTTTTCAACTGTGGACCATGACCTCAGAGGTGGAGGTGCTGATCCTTATCCCAGTTACTTCTGACTCTGCAGCAAACCACTCTAGTGAGAGTTGAAGATCACAGCACAGTGAAGCCAGCAGGAACACATCATCTACAAATGTCAGAGATGGAATCCTGAGGCCACTGAACCAGACTTCCTTTGCCCCACTGAGAAATTCTATCCATAAAGGTTATGAACTAAATTGGTGACAACAGGCAGCTCTGGCTGGGGGTCTGACGTAAACCAAAGTCTCGCACTTCCTGTATAGGGACTGAATGTCCCATAGCAATGGACCACCAATCCATTACTCAAGGAACAGGCCTCACACTGTACCTTGAGGAGCATTCTCAACTGTCTTCTCCAAGTCCACAAAACACATGGACTGTTGGGAACACTCCCTTGCCCCCTCGAGGGCCCTAGTGAGGGTCAAGTGTTCGACAGCCAGGAAGGAACCTGTAATGTTCTTCCTGAATCTGCGGTTGGATTGTCACACACCCTCTGGTCCCCCATTTTGAAGAGAGGAACCACCACCCCACTGTCTTAAAAACTTGCATTAATAAAATGGAACAAATGGAAATGATGCAGATAGTTTCTTCACCTGACAGGTTTATTTGTTCCTCTGCGATGTTCTTTCAGATTACTGTTCCTTGCATCGTGCTGTTCTTTCCAGTTCACACAGCTTTGTCAGAACTGGGTTGCTCTTCTGTATGTTGCTGTTTGGACCTGCTGATTGGTTCTGGTTGGTTCAATGGGCCGGTCGCTGCAGGGATTGGATGCTTCATGGTTTAATGCTGGCCTGTAGCTGCATGTTCTGCTCTCTGCCTGGCCCACTCCAATCAGAAGTCGGACCCTGATTCAGCCAGCAGCATGTTCAGCTGGTCCTTCCATCCTGAGCTTCTGTCTCTTTAGACTCGTGTAATCTGCACGTTCCTCACCACTGGACCTCAGTAACTGTTCACAGCCAGCCTTTGGTTACAGTTTCTGTCTTCTGTTTCCTCATGTTGATCTTATTTTTCTCTGAATAATCCTGACCGCTTTATTTGCTGCCTGTTTGTTACCTGAACTGTCTTTGGTCTTTCCTCAGCCCCAACGAGGACTCGTGTCAGAAGTTTATACCATTCATCGGGGTAAGTGGAGCCATCGGCTGCGCCCCTCGTCTACCTGGAGTCTTTGGATGAGAATGAACCTTCTTCTCCTTGCTGGTTTTTCAGATGGTGAAGGTCGGCTTCGTGGAGCAAAGCTCTGCAGCATCAGGTCAGCTGTTTGATTCCCATGACTCTTTATCTGAAACAGGAAGTCCACCTTCAGAGAGGAGTAAATAAAATGAGTGTTCATGTTGAATTTGAATGAATTTTCTTCTTACACAAACGTTAGTCATGGAGTTCCTCAGGGTTCAGGGTTTGGACCAATACTCTTTACCTTATATTAGCTCCCATTAGGTAATGTTATTAAACAGCATGGGATAAATTTTCATTGTTATGCTGATGATGCACAGTTATATTTGTCCATGAAACCCAATGAATCCAACCAGCTACTTACAAGCATGCCTTAAAGACATAAAAACCTGGATGGCCCTAAATTTTCTTCTTTTAAACTCAGACAAGACTGAGGTTTTGGTTTTTGGACCTGAAGAATACATGTTTCAGTCTTTCGCCCTCTTTGGATGGCATTAATCTGGCCTCCAGCTCTAATGTCAAAAACCTTGGTGTTATTTTTGATCAGGACATGTCTTTTATCCCCCACATTAAAAACATTACCAGAACCTCCTACTTCCATGTCTTCGTCCATCCTGGATCTGTCATTGTGTATCCGTTCCTCCTTCCTGTTCCTCTCAAACCCAGCCGGTCGAAGCAGATGGCCGCTTGTCCTGAGCCTGGTTCTGCTGGAGGTTTCTTCCTCAAGAGGGAGTTTTTCCTTTCCACTGTTGCCTCTGTGCTTGCTTAGGATGGGAGACTGCGATGAAATGGAACTAATCTTTATTCTCCTCAGAAAAATAACATTATTAACTAATTGTATAAGTGTGTGAATGTTTCTGTTCAGTGCCCTGAGACGACTTCGGTTGTGATTTGTTGCTGTATAAATAAACTGAACTGAATTTATGGGTTGGACCACTGACCCTTCCTCGCTGTTCTTTGTGTCTGACGGTCTGTTTTACATTCACTGAAAGCGTCGTCAGTTTGAAAGTTCGTCATGCGAGACTTATGTAGATTTTTACACAATTATTCTTGTATGTGCGTAAAACTTCAGCCGAGTGTGTTCTGAGCAGGTTTCCTCCATAGACGTCAGCCTTTCTGACCCTGTCTGACTGAAGTCTTGGCTTCTGCAGGAGACTCTGATGATGCTGCTCCTCTGGGCTCCTCTTTCCTCTCCTCCACTCCTCCTCAAGTCTCACCTGCACTAAAGGAGGCTTCACCAACGCCTCCCCCCTCCCCCTCAACCAACACCAGCCTCTGTGACTACAGGTGAGCACAGAACCTGAGACAAAGTTTTTCACACTCACGTTCTTGTGTTCTGACCCGGTCCAGCATCCACACGCTTGTTGTCCTGGTTACACTGTTCCCTACACAACTATTTCAGCATACTTTGGGCCTGTGGTGACGCAGTGGGTCAGAGCCGTGGTCTCGTGGTCCTGAGGCTACAGGTTGGAGCCCAGGTTTGGTCAGGACGGACAGCCGGGGTAAAACAATCACCAAACGATTTGTGTGGCCTGAAGACAGCAGCAGCTGTTTCGGCTGATGTTCAGCATTTTTAACCACTCATTAAAACGTTTGGCTCATTCAGGACTTTGCAGTCCAGACTTTTGTAACCTTTTATTTTGTGAATGTTTATGAAGCATTCACTATTATGATCCATTTTTCTTCTGTTTGTTTTTCAGCTTCTTTCTCATTCCACAATTTTTGTGCTATTTCAACAAATCATAAATCAAAACGTTCAGCTCTTTCAGGACAATCCTGCTTTTTTGGTGCAACTTTAGTTTTTTTAAATATTTAGCCTTTTCTGCCATTTTTATCTCATAGAAAATGAGTTGAGCTCATTTTCCATCCTTCATATCTTTAGATCTGTTTACAACCTTTTACTGCTCCTTTCACATTTTGTTCTGCTTCAGCTTCTTTCAGCTTCCTTGTGCAAATTTAAGCATTTTATCAGCAACTATCAGCTAATTTCAGCTGTTTTTTCAACTGTTTTGTGATCTTTTTAGATTCTTGCAGCTTACTACAAGATAGTTTCAGCTTTTTCTGCTATTTCAGATACTATATAACTGTTTTTATGGCAATTTAAGCTTTTTCAGCTAATTCCACATTTTTTGTACCCATTTCAACTTTTTTGCAGCATAATTCAGCAAAAATGTGTTCTCTCCACTTCCTTCTGGCAATTTCATATTCTTTCTGCCTTTTTAGCTACTTTTTAGCTACTTTTCAGCTGTTTTTTTTGGGTGCTAATTTTTGCATTTTTCATTTAATTTCCACGTTTTGCTCATTTCTGCTCCTTTCAGCCTAATTGGGCAAATATGTGTTCTTTCTGCCTTTTCTTGCTAATTTAAGCTTGTTCGACCATTTCAGTTAGCTTTTTAGCATTTTTAGTTAATTTCAGCTGTTTTCAGATCAATTCAAATTTTTATGGTAATCTCTGCTTCTTTCAGGCTAACTAATTTGTTTCTGCTAATTTCAGCTTTTAATGCTCCTTTCAGCTTTTTTCAGTTTTAGTTATTTCATCTAACATTTAGCTGTTTATGCTCATTTTAGCCTTTTCAGCTAATTCCACTTTTTTTTTTTTTGCTCGTTTCAGCTCCTTCCACTTCCTTCTGGTAGCTTAAGCTTCTTTCTGGCTTATCAGCTACTTTTGAGATTTTTTTTGCTAATTTCAGCTTTTTTTTAGCTATTTTCCTGATTTTTGTGCTCATTTCTGAATATTTAAACCCAATTCAACAAATATGTGTTCTTTCTGCTTTCTTCTGCTAACTTAGACTTGTTTTTCCATTTCAGCTACATTTTAGCATGTTTTTTAAGCTAATTTCAGCAAGTTCTTCAGCAAAAAGCATTCACACCGCATTTTCCACAGGAAATGTAATTTCTCTAGTTACTTTTAAAAGACAGTCTTGAACTTCATTACTCAGCCTTCACATCAACACATCTCAGGTACATTTTATTTATTTTAACAAAACACACCGTTACATTCATGTGGTGTTAGCTCCACTTGCCACAATTCTCAAAATTGACATTTCTTTGACTGCCGTCTGCTGCAGGGAAGATAATGACTATCCTTAAGTACTCAGAATAACCCAACACCAAAAGGCCCAGCATTTGTTAAAGGAATGCATATCGCCCGCCGTCTTTTCTAACAGAATCACCTCATCCTGAGATCAAACCTGGAGAATCTCAATATGCTTGAGAACAACTCTCAGCTACTACCACAACAACCTTTAGCTCAGTATCTGTAAACTGACAGTTGGAGATTTTTTTTTTCTGTTGACTAATCCGGTTAGTTGATGCAGCCATTTTGAATCGGATTGACTCCAAAAGTTCTAATTTTATTAAAATCCTTCTAGTGGTTCTTGATACATTTTGCTAACGTAAACACGCACAGTTAAACTCTGGCCAAAACTTTATTGAAATACACAGTACAACTAATATTTATTAGAGTTGTTGCAAAGATTAAACCTGATTAAATAAATATAAAACGATTAATGTTTTAATGAGCAGTTTGGATCCTGATGACTCTTCAGGAGGCTGCAGGTGTGTCTGACAAAGAGGACATGATGTCAGAGGCACAGCGAGCGTCTCGAGTGTGAACTTTGATTTGATTGTTTCTTGTTTTCCAGCTCTGGGAGTCAGTCTGCAGAGCTGATGGGTCTCCAGGTGGACTACTGGGTGGCTCCAGCAGAGAAGAAGAAAGACATGGAGAAGAGAGACTTCTCCTCCAAAAACACGCTGAAGTGCAATTTCCGCTCGCTGCAGGTCAGCCGGCTGCCTCTGTGGGGCTCAGAGCCCGGCCCCCAGCCCACAATGTCCATGATTGTGGTGACCAAGGAGAAGAATAAGAAGGGTATGCTGTGCATTCTGGGTAATGTAGCTGGGCTTCCCTTAGCTTGAGAGAACCCAAAACTGTTTTCAGCACGAGTCCTGCTGCAGCGGTTCTGATGTCACCTTAACTGGGTCTGGTTTTAGTCTCTGGTGCGTTAAATAGAAAAGTTCCAGGTGGAACTTCATGGATTTTACATTAAAAAAATTGAACTAAAACTTTGTAGAAACTGTCCCAACATCCTTAGAATTCAATTTTATTTACTCTTGTTTGTTTGTTTTTGTATTGAATTTAAGCAGCCCTGCTTTACCTTTTGTAGCTTTAAAAAAAGTTCCATAGAGTCTTTGTTTGAAGCTGCAAACTCCTCCGCTCCATCTTTTTCCTGCAGAAAAAACTCCTTAGGACCACAATGTTCAAACTTAAACTGTTTATATAACAAATGGCAAAAACACAAATGATCCATGTACAAAATTAAAATATAAAAACAAAAGAAAAACATTAAGCTAAACAAGAGAGGTAGGGAAGGGTTAAAAACTGTACCACTCCAGGCCTGTCCAAACACTGATTTATGACAGGACCTTTAGGGCTACTGGCCCTTTAGGACCACTGGTTTTTGCAACATGCCTGTCCAAACACTACTGTATGAGAGGCCCTTTAGGACCACTATTTATTGCAACATGCCTGTCCAAACACTACTGTATGAGAGGCCCTTTAGGACCACTGTTTATTATAAATCTCTCCTCTCTGGCTTTATCAATCAATCAAATATGTCTCTGTATCAAATATTTATCTAAAGAATTATTCAAAACACACAAATATGGACTTACAGTTATATCAATAACAAATTTATTCTTTTTGACATTTAAAAATTTTAATAAACAAACAAAACAGCATTTAGGCTCCCACACCTTTTTTCTGAAGATTAGGTCAAATTAGGTAAACTAGGTCAACACGGACAAAACAAAATCTTTCGTTTTAACATTGAAAGTGGCACAAAATAAAATATCCTTACATTTGAATTCCTACAGAGAGCTTTGTGTACGTCCTGTTTACTCGATCTGTGGATGTTTGTTGTTTCGTTCCTGCAGTCATGTTTCTGCCAAAAAAGAGCAAGGACAAGGATCTGGAGTCCAAGAGTCAAGTGATCGAAGGCATCAGTCGCCTCATCTGCACTGCCAAGCACCAGCAGACCATGCTGAGAGGTAACCTTCAGCAAGAAAACACTCGGAGCTACAGGAGATCCATGTCCTCTGACCTAATCAAACTTGTCAATATTTGGTTCCAAAGAAAACCTTTAGCAGTGCTCACAGTTTAACCACGATCTGATACAGTAAAATGATTTATATCATTTGTTAATGGTCGTTTCTTCATGTAATGTAAAGATAATCCTGAGTTTGGATGGCGTTCACACAGAGTGCCTCAGTTTTGACAATGAACAGAAAATATCTGAAGTAACTCAGGTTTTGTTATTTCATGGACATGTTGGAAGTATTTACAGACCCACAGTTAGCTATAATTAAATTCCTGTTTTTTATGATTCTAAGTAGAAATTGTGTTTTGTTTTAAGCTGACATACTTCATGTCTGCATTCTGAACTAAATGATCACCGAGTGAAATAAAAAAGCAGTACTGAAAATACCATGAGAATAAAAATATGAGCATTAAAATGCCATGAGTAGCAAAATACCATTAGTACAAAAATATGACAAATACAGACATACCACGGATATAAAATATGACGAGTATAAAATACATGTACTATAAAAAATACGATGAGTTTAAAAATACCATGTGTATAAAATACCACAGGTATAAAGTACCAAGAGTATAAAAGTACCACGAGTTGAGCGTACACTGATCCGAAGTCGAAAGAGTTTGACGTCCTGTCTCGTCTTGTTTTGCGTCTTTTCTGCAGTTCTCATCGACGGCGTTGAGTGGAACGATGTCAAGTTCTTCCAGTTAGCAGCTCAGTGGTCTTCACACGTCAAACAGTTTCCTATCGGGATCTTTGGACACACAAAAGGTCCGTACTAGTAGCACCTAAAGAGACTGAGACATGGAGGACAGCTGTCCCAGCGGTCTTTGGTGATTTCCTTCCTTCCATCTTGTTCTGCTGTCTGAGGTTAAACCTGCTCTGCACTGTTGCATTCGTTTATTATTTAATATCTTTCTTATTTATGTAGAAACGTCTCGGGTCAGGCTGTCACTCTGCTTTTTAAAGAGACTCCTGCTCATGTTTTATAGACTTTAACTTAAAAATCTGATACGTGTTTGAACCATTAACATGTTGAGTGTCTTTCTGTTGTCAGCCTGTTTGTTTGACGTTTAACCACGTTAGCTCTTGGCCAGCACGATAATCCAAGTCCAACAAGAGGATTTGTAACGAAGGGGTTAAAGATCACGGTTGGTTATTAAAAGTTTAGCCACAAACAAAAAGCCCTTCGCTGAAACGTCTCCGTGTGAATCAGCTGTTGTGTAAAATACTTCTGTTGACCCGGCTCCGTCTCTACACCTTTAAACTCTTTTATTCTCCTACGATAAAAGTTCAATTAATCATGAGAAAATATGAAGTAGAACAGAATATACAAACACTGTAGGTGCTGCACTGAACTGTTGTTACAATAAAAACCAGCAGCTAGTTAGCCTAGTTAGATGATAACCCAACTAGCTCTGCTTCAGCGTGTAGACATTAACAGGAAGTAAATATTTCTCTGAGAGCTGCAGGTTGTTGGTTTTAAACTTTTTCATTCTTTTTTTTACGTCCTTTTAGCAGCACATTTTCTTTTCCACCATTTTATAATTTTAACACAAAGCCCACTGATCAAATGAAAATCAGGCTCAGGTCAAATGTTAGAAAAGTTTTCCTACAAAGTTGTAAAAAAAATACAAAATATATGATCTGTTACAGCTCAATTCCACCAAAACAAACCAGAATGAGACGTTCAGTCCGGACTTCCAGCTCCAGACGGGTTCAGAAACGTCTCTTGGTTCTTTTAGGTTTTGTCAAAATGAAAGAAGAACTCTATTCCAGACGAGATCATCTTGATTAGTGGATCTGGTGTTTCTTCTAAGCTGCTGGTCTAAAAAGACATCCTCCGATCAGGCAGCAGAGGTCTGCAGACCACAGCCAGCTGCCTTGAGAGCAGTCTTTCACGTTAGGTGGTGCCTGTTTCTCTGACTTCATGTAACTTCCTGTCTGAGGTG